AAACTCTTTATTGACAAATCCTACATAATACAAATGTACCATACCATACCATGCCATACCACACCTTATATTGCATTGCATTGCATTGCATTGCATTGCATTGCATTGCATTGCATTGCATTGCATTACATTGCATTGCATTGCATTGCATTGCATTGCATTGCATTGCATTACATTACATTACATTACATTACATTACATTACATTACAGTACATTACATTACATTACATCACATTACAGACAGACAGACATACAGACATACAGACAGACAGACAGACAGACAGACAGACATACAGACAGACAGACAGACAGACAGACAGACAGACATACATACATACACACACACACACACACACACGCGTGCGCGTGAACAGAAACCAGTGCCTACTTGCGATCGCAGTTCTTGTGGCCCCAGTTCGAAGCAGCCCAAACTGAATGATGAAAAGTTAACGTCTGTTCAGCGGGGAGGGCTGGGAGTCAGTCGCTGCCGCCCTTTTTTGAACCATGAGAGCACTCGTCTGCAGGTTCTCCCATCCGGCCAAAGAGGATTCCATAACCTTCCATTCTGACGAGCTGCGCGGTGGATGGTGTTTACTTAGGGCAAGGGGCATATCGTTACGATCCAGGGGTTGCGGGTTTGGGAGATTAGGGCTGTCCCATGTTGGGAATCTCAATCGTCTGGTTTTGGGCCTCGAAGTGAGGGTGAGGGCTTCCAAAGATCCCAAGGATGAACGACGATCTGGGCCACTCAAGCAAGACGTTCAGTCTCGCAGGTGAGTCCACAATTCAGCCCGGGTTTATGCTGTTGAATATTATTGAAGTTTACTGAGCACATATTATCACCTTTATGTATATGTATATATGTACTGATTTATGAGGGAACCTACGTAGTAGTGCTGATGTTCTTCCAGAGGGTCCGCCCGAACACTTGCAGCCACTGAGTTAGTCCTTTGTGCGACACCTTGGTCCTTCCAGTTTGTCCGTTCAGACATTGTGCGGATAAGGTTGTACACCAAACGCACATGCAATGTGTTAGAGTCGTGATTGACAGCATGCAGCGGCAACGACTGACTCTACAAATTCTGCGATACTATAGGGGCCTTAATATTTACCTATACTATTTTGGGGGTTCCTCATTAATGCTAGTTATCGTTTAATGGATCCCGGAGCCCTATTCTAATTATTAAGGCCCCTACATTACTCGGCTTCGGGCCACTCGACGTGTCCTGAACCCTGGACTTCAGGTCCTGGAATTACGGGGCACCTTGCAGCCTTTGAGCTCGGAGGCACCCCTAAACCCTAAACACCTAAACCCTAAACCCTAAACCACAAGGGAACCCTGGAAACCGTTCATGGACCCTTTAAGGGGGTGGACTGGCTTGGGACTTTGGGTCCAGAATCTCAGGTTGAAGTACGTTTTCGCTGACCTCCCAGCGAATGCCACGGTGGAGGAGTTGGAGCTCTCGATGCACATCGCGACGCCGCTCGGCCTTCAGCGTGCAGGTTCTAGTAGAAGGACGCAGTCGGTAGACTAATGTAGGGGCCTTAACAATTAGACTAGGGTTTCGGGGTATATAATACTATATATATATATACACATATATATATATATATTTATAATAAGGAACACCAAAAATAGTGTAGGTAATTATTGAGGCCCCTATAGTACTACAAAAGTGCGAGCCTGGCTTAGTGGGGCTCACCACTGCGACGGCGACGTGCCAGCTCCCAAGCAGCAAAGCTCGCAGCCGAAACCAGAAGCTAACTCCCCAACCCCGCTGCCCTCGGACTCCCTTAACCCTAAACCCTAAACCCTAAACCATACACCTTTTGCAATTCACTGTCTTCCAGTGAGTCACCAGTAGGTCCTTTGGAACCTGAGTTGCGGTAGAGGCGACTCGATAGCAGGCAACATGGTTCCCTTGGTCCTTGTACCTTCATACCGCAGTATCGCGGGACATCCTAGACGTGCAAGCCCAAGTTGTAGGCCGTGGGGCTAATATGCGGGACCCTGCCTGACTTGGGCCTCAGCTGGGAGGATCCTGATAATCAGGGCCCCTTAGTCACCCGCCCTAAACCCTAAACCCTAAACCCTAAACCCTAAACCCTAAACCCTCTTTGTAAGGAATCCTGGAGCAGAGGTACTGGAATCAATTAGCCGCCCACGGGGACCCGTCCGGGGGAGCCATCCCCTCTTGGCCCAAAACTGAGCTGGACGAGAAGGCCGGTAGACCCGGGCCGGGCCTGGCGAGCATGCACAAAAAAGGGACTAGTACGCGGTCCTCAAGGGTTTAGGGTTTAGGGTTTAGGGTTTAGGGTTTAGGGGTTTAATTACCTATATTATTCTAGGGGTTCGTTAGTATACTTACAGTATAACGGGCCCCAAAGCCTGATTCCAATTCTTCAGGCCCCTACATTATAAGGCTTTAAGGAGACACAGCTTCCAACGACTCGGGCCGCTATGGTTGAGGGTTTTGGGTGCCGGGTTTAGGGTTTGGAGCTTGATTTGGGGAGGAGTCTAGGACACTTTCAGGTGGGCAGTTACCGTTATAGGAGCCTTATAGAAAGTCTATATACCTTATGGAAGCCTTATAGAAGCCTTATATACCGGACCCCGGGTCACAAGACTAGGGTTTAGGGTTTTAGGGTTTTAGGGTTAAGGGTGTTGGGTTTAGGGTTTAGTGCTTAGGGGTATTGGGTTTTGGGGTTTAGGGTTTAGGGTTTAGGATTATTTAGGAAAACCCACCAGCCCTTACTAAACTCTTTATTCCCCGACTTCCAGAAATCAGCAAGCCCCAAAGCCTCAACCGTAAACCGGACCTGGAAAACCCGAAGCTACAAAGCCAAGCCTGGCTGTAGAGTCCGTAGAACTCCATGCCTTGTACAGCGAGAAATCAAAGATCCGCGTCGGTTTAGGGTTAAGGGCTCAGAAGAAAGGAGGGTATAGGCGAAATCTTCGGCGTCGTTGGGTGGAGGTTTGAGTGGACTGCTTCAGGGTTGTATAGCGCAGGTACATGGTCGAATGATGAAGCTCCTCTTCACAGCAAGCCACAAAACATCCGCGACCTCTTAGGCGGAGGAAGCATCCCTAAACCCTAAACCCTAAACCCTAAAAGCCCTAAAAGCCCTAAACGCCCTAAACCCAAAAACTCCCTAAGCCCTAAGCCCGAAAAAACCCTGAACCCTAAACCCTTCAACTCGACCTCGAGATCCTGAGCCTGGAGCCCGTAAGTCGAGCACTTTTCTCAAGAGCCGTGGCTTTCGCTCTCAGGGGGTGGCTGGACCTTACCTGAAGCTGGACGTGGCGAGTGCCGGGGGCATCCAGGTGGGACAGCGGAAGTCGGGTGAGTCGGGTGGTTCCGGTAAGATGAGCAGGGGAAAGGATTGAAAAGGGTTCGGGGTTTGGGGTCTCTGTGCTCCTTCGGGTTCTGCGAGGGTGTAGTTGACTGATGCTGACTTCCCTGCAAGCCGTTGACCCCAATCCCAAATCCCTAAATCCGCGTCGGAAACCCTAAGCTAGAAACGCGCGCATATGAAAACCACATCATCGCGACAGCCTTGGCAAAAGCTTCCGCTGCTTACTCCGTGTCGCTGAGCTCCTGGCCGGCGACCGCTCCAGCCGACAAACTTGGGGGCAGCAGTGTGGAACGACGAAGGTTCGTCCAATGCTGGAATTCTGGGCTTCATGAAACCGGAGCAGACATTCGTTTCGAAATTATTCGCGCAAGAGACGATGAGGAGCGATCGCCACGAGCTGGTCAATCGCTCTGCGATCGGACTCTCGATGCTTGTGGGGTCGATGCATGCGACCATGATCAACGTTGAAGAAGGCGGAGCGGCGGGGATCTTCAATGCGACGTTCGAAAGAGTTTACTAGGCTCTGCACAGAGCACAACATCGAGTAAACCAACAAGATGTTGAACTTACAGGACTCGTTGAGATGTAAAGCAGCATGTAGCTGGATGTTCCGAAGCACCATCCCGACGTCGAGCGATTTCCCGAAGCAGTCGCAGAGTGTGTCGGCATCGTCTTGTGTCCTTGGTGAAGACTGTCAAGGAGCAGATGAAGGCACAGAGCGACAACGTACAGATGAAGACAGAGAAAAAGGAGAAAAAGAAGTCCCGCAAGTGACTTCTCCCGGTCGGGTGATCTCAGGCAGCGTCGGACTGCACATCTCCATGGTGATGCGGTTGATGGACAAAATCCTGCATGACCTTTTCTACCTAAACTATGGGATTTATGGTACTATACTATATTTGGGTCATGCAGGATTGTGTCCATCAACAGTGTCAATCCAGAGGCCCCGGAAGCACCAAAGAGCGGAAACGCCCGCGTCTGCCTGGAGCAGTCAAACTGCAAGAATCCAGTGACCTGATGCGTCATCGTCGTTTCGCACCCGAAATTGTCGACCCATGCACTCCGCGGTATCAAGTTACCCAGCCCGAATCACCACGCCCAAGTCAGAAGTACGCTTTGCCCCTGCCATAAACCGCAAAGGCCCTGAAGCCCTTAGCCCCCAACCTTCACTAAACCCTAAACCCTAAATGGCGAGGTGATGACAGAGCCCTTCCGGCCAGAGCTGCCGGGCAGGTTTGATGTGGGCGTTTGGGGTTTCCGTCTTTTGAATTTTGGGGGTTGGGGTTCATGGTGTTGGGTTTAAGGAGTTAGGGTGCTGCGGCATGCTTCGAGAATCAAGGGCGTAGAACCCTACTGAAGGTACTTTACAACCCAAGGTGCTAAGTCCCCCCCATGCTCTAAGTATGACCTTCTGTCAAGGTTTAGGGTTTAGGATTTCGAACTTAGGGTTTTGGATTTAGGATTCAGGATTTAGGGTTTAGGATTTCGAACTTAGGGTTTAGGATTTAGGATTCAGGACTTTGGGTTTAGGGTTCTGGGTTCGTCGAGGCCTTCTTTGGCCGCTCTGTGGCGGCTCAAAAGTTCCAGTTGGGGCCGGTGGCGTTGGGCGTTGCGGTTTCGGGTTTAGGGTTTAGGGTTTAGGGTTTAGGGTTTAGGTGATGCAACAAGCCGAAGACCTGAGCCCCAACCTCAAACCAAAACGCTGTTCATGTAGGGGCCGAAATAATTACCAATAGTAGTTTGGGGGGTTTTATATTGTAGGTAGTTATGGTATAACATACCCCCCAACACCCCATTCTAATTATTAAGGCCCCTACAGTATTAGGGTTTTTGCGGGAGCCTGCATGCCACCTCGTCAGATTCATGTTTAATCTTCATTGTCATCTTCACCTTCGTATTCCTTTTCATGATCAACGGCCCTAGCTCGTCTGCCCGGTACCCGCCAAACGCGCCGGTCCTGCAGTGCCGCCTCTCTGCTCTTTTCTGCGGGGTGNNTCTCGCATCGTAGTGTCCGCCACACGTGCCGATCACCGTGATGTTTAGGGTTTAGGGTTTAGGGTTTAGGGTTGAGGGTGTTCTGCACCATCAGCGCACCCTCATCTTTACTCGCAGCCTCCGGTGCCCAGGCAGTGCGAGTTCATGAGTTCATGGCTGAGCCGGGCCATCAAGCCCCCAGAAGTTGTGGTGTGACTTTGAGGGCACCGGCGCCCCTTCCACAAGTGAGGGCACCGCTGCTCAGACCCATCCTACCTTTTTCCCATGCAAAAGTCTGTTGAAAAGCGCTTCCTTGGGAGATGTGAGGTTCAGACGGGGGGGTTGGGACCATTCGGATGGCAAGAAGCTTTCTTGATCTGAGCAGTGGGTACTCTACAACCTCAACGCCCTCAACTCCTTGAGTCCTTTCAGCGCGGTCGCAGTGCTCTCTTCTGCCCACCATTCCTGGAATCGCTGTTTTGGGTTTTGTGTGCTTGTTGCAGCTTTCAGCTGTTCGGATTACAGGCTGCTGTGGCGGCTAAACGCCGGTCCCCTTCCGAGCCCACGGAAACCACGATGTGCAACTTGATCCTCTTCTAATCATTTTCGCCCAGATGTTGCACCTTCGACAGCATGCGAGATGAATCCCACACCCCACAAGCCCTGCAATGTAAGCCTCAATCCTAGAACCCTAAACCCCTAAACCCCAAACCCTAGCCCGTAAACCCTGCAGCACCTAAACCCCCACACCCTGAAGCCCAAAGCTCCCAAAAAGCCCCTCAAGCCCCCTAAACCCTAAACCCTAAACCCTAAACCCTAAACCCTAAACCCTAACCCCTAAACCCTAAAGCCTAAAGCCCTAAAGCCCTAAAGCCCTAAAGCCCTAAAGCCCCGAGCCCTAAGCCCCTCGGGTCTCACCAAGGCCAGGGTGACATCACCGTCGTCGAAACCGACGTCACCGATCCGGCGGCGTTGGCCGGGGGTCTCAGGGATCAGTGGGTCTTTTTATAGGGCCTTACTAATTACCTCTACTATTTTGGGGTTCCTTATTATAATTATCGTATAATATACCCAAAAACCCTATTCTAATGATTAAGGTCCCGATATTAGGTGTTTGGGCTTTGCTTGTTTGGGTTAGGGAAGTTTTAGAGTTGTGAGAGTCTAGGGCTTAGGGGCTTCGGGGTTTAGGGTTTAGGGTGTCGCAACAAGAATCTCAAAGAGTCATCCCGAAGAGAGTAACCTTATGGATCAGCAACCGGCGCTAGAACTCCCTTGTCGCAGAGGTACTCAGGGTATGATCGGCTGCTTGATTGACTGATTGACTGACATTGACTGAATGAGTCAGCGATTGATTGATTTATTGATTGTCATGTGTTTGCCGCCGCTAGACTTGTTTCATTGCATGCGTTCAGTCCCAGCATCATGGCTACTCTGCCATGATAAGGGTGAGGGTTAATGATGCATGGAAAGTCTGTGATGGCGAGGAAGGTGTTACACATGGGTAGTTGTCAAAATTAGGGTCCTTTTTTGGGTACCCTAAATATTAGGTGCCGTATTATATCAGGGACCCAAAAAGGGACCCTAATTTTGACAGCCACCCACATGGTGTTCTTGGTGCCTTCAGCGGTAGTTCGTGTGCTCAGGGCCCGGTATTGTGAGTTCAGGCTTGATGTGGTCGGAGCTGCAGTTTTCTGGAGTTTAGGGTCCGGCCAGGTTTAGGGTTTAGGGTTTAGGGTTTAGAGTTTAGGGTTTAGGGCTTAGGGTTTAGAGTTTAGGGTTTAGGGTTAAGGGTTTAGGGTTTAGGGTCCGGCCTGTGAGTTGACTGCTGGTCCACCCTGCTCGGTCAAGTGTCGCTTAGGAGCCCCCAGCCCATCCCAGCCCTGAGAGCTCCAACGCGCCTTTTGAAAAGCTTGCCCATCCCTAAACCCCAAACCCTAAACCCTAAACCCTAAGCCCCTAAATCCCTAAACCCTAAACCCTAAGCCCCTAAACCCTAAACCCTAAACCCTAAACCCTAAACCCTAAACCACTGCCTGTAAGCCACCTCTCAACTGGAAGGCCCGAACCGCCTGTAACTCTCGGGGTGTTTGGGCTGAGGGTTTGTGCGACTTCCTCTTTTCAGGTCTCGGGGGCTTAGCTTAGGGTTTAGGGTTTAGGGTTTAGGGTTTAGGGTTTAGGGTTTAGCGTTTAGGGTACGCCCATAGCTTGAGATTTTAGGGCCTATTCGCCCATGCAGCAACAGCATCCTTTCCAGCAGTACACTCAGTTCTAGTACACCCTGAAGCAAGAAAGGGCAAGCCTGTGCCTGATGAAGTCCTGATACACCATCGCCCGCTTCGCAGTTTAGGATTTCCCGTTTCTAAGAATAACTAATTTCGCAGCCCTAAACCCTAAACCCTAAACCCTAAGCCCTAAACCCTAAACCATTCTGTTCTCTAGCTCAGGACCCGGGTCAACTGTGACTTGCTCGTTGATGCCCATTTGTACAGTTGTACCATGAAGGATCACGTAACTTACTAGAGAGGTCACAACTGGGAAGATATGTACTCTAATCCATCCTACTCTTGTCTACGTAGACCCTAAACCCTAAACCCTAAACTACTTCCCAAGTGCCCCCCATGCTCCGAGCCAGCAGAAAGCAGCCCATTTCTGAGGATCAGCTCTACTCCTCATTGGAGCCGCCTGCCCAGGTCACATGGCTTTGGATTTAGGATTTAGGGTTTAGGATGTAGGGTTTAGGGTCGAACCCTTAGAGCTCTAGCCTCAGATTTCGGGTTTTGGGGTTCCGGGCTTTAGGATTTTGGGGTTTGGGGGGGTTTTCGTGGTTCTGGTCCAGGGTTCAGAATGCCGGGACTCAGGCTCTAGGATGTGTAACCCAAAGGGTCCAAGTCCAAGGACCAACATAGTAGATACTTAGTAGATATATGGCCCCAAAAGTACATACTATACTATTCATAGTAGATACTTAGTGGATATATGGGCCCCAAAAGTATATACTACACTATTACTTGGGCCCTTCGGGTGAGATCTGGACGCGAGGCTTGATGCCCAGGGGCTGTCGTTCCTTCAAACCCCCAATAATATAGGGCCCGAAGCCTTAATAATTTGAATAGGGTCTGGGGTATATTATACTATAAGTATAATAAGGAGCCCCCAAAACCCTATTCTAATTATTAAGGCCCCTACATTAAGTTGGGAGTACTGCCCAGGCGCGCACGCGCGCTCAAATTCCGACCTTAGGCACCGAAATTCAAGAATCCGGAATTCGTCAATCTCAATGAAAACGAGTCCCCTGCCCCCACGGCTTCCGAAATACCACGGCAGCGAGAGTGTCGGGCAGGGAGCAGTTTGCTGTCTTGCCAGCCGATCCGGGGGACGCCAGGACGGATCGCGGGCTCTTGCATAAGACTTTATTAGGGTTCATGGAGAGTTTTGGGTTCGTAGCCATAATGCATTCGTCGCAGATTTCATGATTTCAAGCTTTTCCGGGCTTATGGCTTGGTTCAGATGAAAGTTTACATGTTGGGATTCTAGCTCTTGCTTTGGGTTCCTATAAGGGCTTCTGCGAGGGTTCCTACCTACGTTCCTTCACGGGTGTCTGTAAGGGTCCCTACAAGGATCCTATATTGTCACCTATGTCGGGAGCCGATCGGCTAACTTCTCTGCCGTTCTATGGCATTTTGATTTGTGTCGTTTAGGAATGCCGGGCATGCGCAAGTAGTTCAGGGCTTAGGACGTAAGCCTTTAAGACCCAAGGTTACTGGACAAGGAAAGGGACCGTCTGCAAGTCCAATGCTCGCCACAACAGGAAAGGAACGGTAACAGAAAGCCGCTGCTTCACAGCGGCTTTGATGATTCCGCCAAAATAACAACATCACTCATAATGATTGATGATAGTAATATTATACTAAATATCAACTAAAAACTAGTAACGATGAAAGTCATAATGCTAAATATCAACTAAAAAGGCAAATTTCCAGCAGAATCTCCGCAGCTTTTTGCGTCAAGGCTTTGAAGCCTCGACCCGGCTTCCCTGAGAGGGCATCCCGGTGGTCGATGGAGGCTGTGCCTAGGGAGGTGAAGCCGCTGCTGCTGGAGGAAACCTGGCGCTGGTATGGGCCGAATGACCCCGTCACTCTCGAGGACATTTTGGGGTTTAGGGTTTAGGGTTTAGGGTTTAGGGTTGGGGGTGTAGGGTTCAGGGTTTAGGCTTTGGGACTATTCAGGGCCAGGGCCTCTGGAGCTTTAGGGCCTCAGGGTTCCGGGTGGCCTAAACCCTAAACCCTAAACCCTAAACCCAAGAGCCAGCAACCTATACCGAGCTGGGCTTCTTGGTGTAAGTTGAAGGAGACACCCCCCGCAGCATTGCAGCCGTTGCATCCCAAACCCAAAGCCCTAAACCCTCTGACTGGAGCTTTCGTCCTCCCAGGACGTAAAGCAGTCCGGGGCCACAGGCATCGTCACGGCGCTGCACCAGGCCCATCTTGAAGACCAAGCCTGAATCCGAAACTGCATCTTGGGTAAGGAGGAACTTGAGGGTGCTGATGGTTGGCCGAAGGTTTCGCATCAGAACTCCGATCCGTGATGGTCAGGTCGCGACTGGAATTGATTCAACTTGATGCGGTTGTCCCAAGACTCAAACGAACGAACAAGAGACAGACACGAGCTACCAGAACATGATCAACAAAGAAGTCAACATCTCCGAGATGTTCTTACTCGGACAGTTGTCTCTTCCACAGTCTAGAATTACCCTAAGCCCTAAAGACCATGACATGAAATCCAGAGCAAAGGGTCAGAAGGATGCTCAGAGCGCTGGGCGAAGGCTCCTGTACTATAACATCCGTCAATCCTAAGCCCTAGTATATTTCGTCGTGCCTTCGTGCCTTAGGGTTCCTTATAATGTTCATACTATTTTTATTCGCCAAAACCCTAGTTCTAACGATCTACATGACCCGCCATGCGTTGCCAAGCCCCAGGCCCCAGACCATAGATGACTAGAAGCCCGAAGCCCGAAACCCTGCCTGCAGATCCCCATCGGAGAGATCTGGAGCGAATCCGCCATCCTCGAGCGCAAGAAGATGTCGCTGGGTCGCTGTCGTTATTGTCGCAACAGTGATCATCATCGCGGGTGTGGCTTCATACTATCTATCTAGGTAGGTAGGTAGGTAGGTAGCGGTAGGTCGGTCGGTCGGTAGGTAGGTACGTAGGAGCTCGGGAGGTTAGTGTGTGTATATATATATATATTATATATATATATATGCGCACACACACACACACATAGACTCCAATTTACTGGTGCCTTCTCTACGGCTTTCTATAGCAAGGTCTTGACCCGATTCCCGGGGTGTTCCTCTGCCGCCGGCGCCGAGGTTGGAGGATGCCGGCTTCACCTGGTCCGTGGTGGAAGCCGGGTCGGCTTAGTGCAGAGAAGACCCGGCATAGGGCCCAAACTCCAAACCCTCATCCCCAAACCCTAAAACCCTAAACCCTAAACCCTGAACCCTAAACCCTAAATCCTAAACCCTAAACCCTAAATCCTGAATCCTAATCCTAATCCCTAGGCCCTGAACCCTTCACGTTACAGCCCAAAACCGAGGAGTCTGTGCCTGTGCACGAGAGCATCAAGCTCGGCAAGGCGGACCGCGACAAGTTCCGAGGCTGTATTGGCTATAGGGTTTAGGGTTTAGGGTTTAGGGGATTTGAGGGTTTGAGGGGGCTTTGGGGATTGAGGGCTTTGAGGGTTTGGGGTTTAGGTGTTCAAGGTTCAGGAGCACAGCTGAACTCATTCGGGACTTGGAGCCCTCAACCCTCAATGAAACCTCCGTCTGGGCACCTTGTTTGCTCAGAGGTTTTTCGGAATTAATTTGAAAATCTTTGCTTGAACTCGCTTGGACCCTAATTACAGGAGGAACCTCTCGTTCGGGCGTCAACCGCAAAACCCTGTACTACCGGGGCCTTTTTTAATTACCTATTCTATTTTGCGGGTTCCTTATTCTAGCTGTAGTAGAAGAATATATATACCCCCCAAAACCATATTTTTACTATTAAGGCCCCTACATTATGCCCAAAAGAGCTGAACCCCACGGAGAAAATCGCGAAAAAGCCCGAGCCATCCTGAGCCCCAAACCGTAGAAGTCGAACCTCTATAAACCCTAACACCCTAAACCATAAAGCCTAAACCCCAAACCCTATAAACCCGACCCTAAACCCGAAACCCGAAACCCTAAACCCTACAAGCCCTACACCCTAAACCCTAAAGCCTAAACCCTGTAAACCCTATAAGCCCTATAGGCCCTATAAGCCCTAACAACCTAAACCCTAAAAGCTCTAAACCCAAAGTTCAAAAAGTAGCTTCGAACCCTATAAGCCCTATAAGCCCTATAAGCCCTATAAGCCCTAAACCCTATAAACCCTACAAGCCCTAAGCCCCAAAGTCGCTTCGGACTTGAAGCTTCAGCTCGACGCTTTGTCGTTTCAGGCCGTTGGGTCCGGACATGTTCGAATATAGGGGCCTTAAGAATTAGAGTAGGGTTTAGGGTTTAGGGTTTAGGCGGGGGGCCTTAATAATTAGAATAGGGTTTTGGGGGTTCCTTTTAAGGGTTCCTTTAAGGGAGACTATAAGGGCTACTACAAGAGTTTAGGGTTTAGGGGCCCTAATAAGTAGAATAGGGCTTTGGGGGTACTTGTTTTGGGGGGGTACATTCTACTATAATTATATATAACAAGGAACCCCCAAAACCCTATTCTAATTATTGTGCAGAGGGTTTCGGTGTAGCGTTATGCGATGGAAAGATCAGGGCTTTGGAGTTAGGGTCTAGGGCGTTTAGGGATGCCAGAGTGTAGCTTTGGGCTTTCATGGCTTGCGGTTTGCAGTCGCAAAGCTCAGGCCGAACTTTCCGGGCCGCTGCTGCAAGCTTTAGATCTTTCGATCTCTCGCGGAAGATCGCGATGCTGAACGTCCATAAGCCCGACTCCCCGAAACGACGGGTCCCGGATTCTTCGGCTTGTCTCGAAGCGTGCAGCCGAGGTACATCGAAACCTACAAGCAGACAGTGCGAAACCTGGGCAAGTGTGGCATCCGCTGCATCTGCTACAACTTCATGCCTGCCCCTTGGCTCATTCAAACGAAAGGGCCTCCGCCGTACGCTTCCGCCCCAGCCCTAACCGTATGTTCTGTTCTGAGCCCCAAAAGGTTTTTTGCAACCTTTACACAACACCCCTATAGTTTCCATTGTAGTTCCTTTTTGGGGTTACCTTCAAATCTTCTAGGATCCTGGTTATAAAGCGAGTTAAACCAAAAAAGGAACTACAATGGACACCATAGGCCCTTCTCAATGCCTTCTAAATCCGTTCTAAAACCTAAACCCTAAACCCTAAGCCCTAAACCCTAAACCCTAAACCCTAAACCCTAAACCCCTAAAAAACCCAGAAACCTTGGTGAAGGTCTTGGACTGGACTCGGACCGACCTCACCCGCCGGTGGCCGGACGGGTCAGAGGCCTTGGCGTACGACGCAGACGATTCTCATTCTGAAGGGGGCTTGGGGGTTAGGGTTTAGGGTTTGGGGTTTAGGGATTAATTCTGAAGGGGTTTGGGTGTTTAGGGTTTGGGGTTTAGGGATTTAGGGGTTGATCATTCTGAAGGGGGTTTGGGGGTTTTATGATATGGGGTTTAGGGATTTAGGGGTTGATCATTCTGAAGGAGGTTTGGGGGTTTAGGGTTTGTGGTTTAGGGATTTAGGGGTTGATCATTAGGAAGGTCCCTTTGCAGGGTTACCCGAAGGGTTCCTTCGGGTTCCCATGGGTGCCTAGACTTTATGGCTTTGGGGGTTAGGGTTTAGGGTTCTTTAGGGTTCTTTCTGGTTTGGGGGTTAAAGGGTTTCGGGGGTTTGGGTTTGAACATCCCAGGAGCTAGCAGCCTTCGATCTGTACATTCTGAAGCGCGCCGGCGCCGAGCCGCTCTGTCGGTAAAGAGCTTCTACAGGGTTCTGGGGTTTGAGATTGTGCTTCCGGGGTTTATTCGTTCAGTCGTTCGGTTTAGTCTGGTTTGCAGACTCAGGGTTTGCGTTTTCCACGAGTTTGGGGCTTTGGAGTTCAAGGTTTGCCAGAGGGCTTTGGGATTCAAGCGGGTTCAGACTGGAGGCCAAGGAAGCCCAGACAGCCTGCCACTCATTTTCAGTATGGCCTTTCGGAAAGAGGAGATCCTAACCCAAAGCCCTAAGCCCTAAACCCTGCGCCAATATCCCCACAGCCTACACCATGAAACCCTAAACCCTAAACCCTAAAGCTGCCAAAGCTGCAAGGAAGGAGTACGAAGCTTCGGCCCTGGCGCGGGCCAAGGCCGTGTTCGACAAGATGGACGATCAAGCGCAGCAGGCTCGTTTCGCAGTACTGGCTTTATAATCAGAAGGGCTCTCTGAAGTCTATAGTATAGGGGCCTTAATACTTACCTATACTATTTTGGGGGCTCCTTATTATAATTGTCGAATACTATACACCAAAACCCTATTCTAATTATTAAGGCCCCTATATTAAACCCTGGGCCCTGCGCCGAAGCCATGAATCCTACACCCTAAGTCCTAAACCCTCCAACCACAAATTGCAAGATCCCGTATGAAGCCCTGATCACCAGAGCCTTAAGTTCATAAGACTCGAAAGTTTACTGTTTAGGGTTGAGGGTTGAGGATTGAGGATTTAGGGTTCAGGGTTTAGGGTTTACTGCCAGGAGGAGTTCCGGAATTGCAGCTGTCGGGTTCGTTGGCTTCGGGACTTTCTGGTCCCCTGTGCCCTAAGTAAAATTCGCTAGTAGTCCTAGAAGCCCTGTTTAGGCTTGGCAGGGGTCCCGAAACCCTAAACCCTAAAACCCGGATTGGGCGATCATATATTATAATAATTATGCGATGCATACGAGAAAATCCCAGAATCGACTACAAAGCCCAAACCCTCAACGCCAGTGCGGGGTCTGTCTCAGGCGCTTCAGCAGAACATCATTGCTGGCCTTCCCGGGCGGATGGTCGAGGCCTACCCTAAACACTAAAACCCAGAACACTAAAAGCCCGAACCCCTAAACCCTAAACCCCAGAACCCTAAACCCCAGAACCCTAAAAGCCCGAACCCCTAAGCCCTAAACCCTAGAACCATAAAAGCCCGAACCCCTAAACCCAAAACCCCAGAACTCTAAAATCTAAACCCTATGAACCCTAAACTCTACACCCTATAAACCCTAAGCCCTAAACCCAAAACCCTAGAACCCTGAAAGCCCTAAAGAGGCCTACTCCATCGAAGAGTTCCGCAGCGCCATCGCGGAGTACGAGAACGTCGCCCGGCCGGTGCTTGCTTTAGGGCTTCAGAACTTTGGGGCTCCCGGTTAAGGGTTTAGGGTCTATAGGGTTTTGAGTTTAGGGTTTAGGGTTTAGGGTAGGGTTTATAGGGTTTAGAGTTTAGGGTTTATAGGGTTTAGAGTTTGGGGTTTAGGGTCGGTTTGGGGCTGTCGAGCAGGAGGGATAAGAGGTTTGAGGTGTATGCTTTCGGGTTCCATAAGCCTCCAATGCCATTCCTTGCAAAAAGATGTGTGCCTCTTGATGGTGTGATATAGCCGAGAGCGTCACTGCAATTTCTTTGGGCTCTTGTCCCTGGGTCAGACCAACCAAAAGAAGCTGAAAGTGGTAATGTGCACAATGCTACGAAGACTCGCTGACAACCCATACATGTAAACACAGCTGCTCGCCGCACAAGCTTGTGCTTTACAGAACGGCTCGTGGTAGAAGACATTCGCTCATCCTGCCCGCAAGCCTCGGGTTTGTCAATCTCTGTTTGCCCGTATCCTGGTTCGCACGCTTCCGGATCTGGATCGTCTTTGAGGCAGAAAGCATTGGTGCTTTACGCCTTGAGCTCATGAGGGTTATACTATAATATACGATAATATTTCTGCCATAATATACGATACTATATACATATAGACGCAATACTGTCATACTATAGTAATACATAGCATACCCCAATGCAGCCCACGAGGTCAAGCCCGCGCAGATGCGCGAGAACTTGGCATACTTCCTTCGCAGCATCATCCCTACCTGCGAGGAGTCCCTGGGGTTGAGGTCATCCTGTTGATGGTATAAATCCTGCCTTACCTTAAGGACCCTAAACAACGGTAATTATGGTATAGTCTGGTAATGCAGGATTTATTTCATCAACCGTAGGTCTCAGGGCTTGAAGTTGAAGGTTTTGAATGTGGCTTACAGTTCAGGGTTCAGTCGGGTTCAGGGCTGAATGGTCTGGTAGTTCCAACCCCCAAAGTCCTAAAGCCTTACACCCCAAGCCCTGAATCAAGAAAACCCCGGAAACAAGCGCTAGACACACCTAAACGCCCTAGACCAAACCCTGAAAGCCCCATTAAAGCGGCATTAAGCACCCTAGAAGTCCAGCAGGCCGTGGATGTCGCACGCCCCTTACACCCGAAGTCCTAAAACCTTAAACCGCAGCTGCACGAGCGCCTTCGACCTGAAACCCAAGACATCCCTAAGCCCTAAGCCCAAGCCTTAAAGCTAGGGCTTTAGGGTTTAGGGGTTTGGGGGTTTAGGGTTTAGGGTTTAGGGTTTAGGGGTTTGGGTTTAGGGGTTTAGGGTTTAGGGTTTAAGCTCTAACTTTAAAGCAGCCCTGAACGCCCAGGAGGCAGGCGTCTTCATGGCCATCCACCCCGACGACCCTCCGAGACCCATCCTCGGCCTACCGCCCCTTGAGCTACGGTTCAGGGTTTAGGGTTTAGGGTTTAGGGATATACCTAAACTATGGTATTTATGGTACTCTACTATATTTGGGTCATGCAGAATTTTGTCCATCAACAGTATGACTAATGGAAAGGCGCATCTCTCTCGGTTTGCCTTAAGGTTACCAGGTGCATCTCTCTTGGTTTGTTTTGGTTTGTTTCCAGGTGCATTTGTTTTTTTAAGGTTTGCCAAAGCTTGTCGCGGGTTTTACAGGACTTTCTTAGATTAATAGAATGGCGTGTATTATAGGTCAGTAACTGTAGGGTTCTCCAAATATTTGAGTATAGAGGTGCCTGACTTTCAGGCTTAAGGGTTGAGGACTTTCGAAGTTTAAGGGTTGAGGGCTGTAGGAGGTTTAAGCATGGAGCGCTTTGGGGGCATGTCGGGGTTGACGGATCTAGGGTCTTAGGGTTGGGATCATCTTGGGAGGGCTTTCAGGTTTCGGGCCTTGGGACTGGGGATCTGCATTACTTAGGGTCTTCGTTGGGTGTTGGGGCTTTAGGGTTAATGGCTGTAAGTAGGGTCATGCATGCATGCATGCATGCGTTCCTACATACGTGCATTTAACTGTTCATGCAGACATACATGCATACATACGTATATGTATACATATGCATACAAGAAGAATAGCCAGCCAGCCAGGCAGAGGGACAGACAGACAGAGTGACAGATAGATAGACATACAGGCAGATGTGCATAGAAAAAAAAGTACACGTGTATGATCGTGTATGTATACATATGTACACAGATGTATGTGTACTCTCACAGGCACATCCTTCCCTTTGGGGAACACACCCAATAGCATAAATGATCGTAGTACAGGTTGCAGCAATATACAGTAGCATCGTGCTAGTGATGTAGAAACTACTCAGTTTATCCAACACTACTTCACCGATGCTTCTCAAAATACCCTAAACCCTAAACCCTAAACCCTAAGCCCTAAACCCTAAACCCTAAACCCTAAACCCTAGACCCTAAACCCTAAACCCTAAACCCTTAACTACGAATTCTTCTTGATTGACGTCTGAACAGAGGCCGGCCTGCTCGACGCGCGACGACGTCGCAGCGCTACTGAAGGCTCCGGCGCCCTCCAGCCTTTCGGGTTTGGGGCTTAGGGTTTTGGACCCTAAACCCTAAACCCTAAACCCTAAACCCTAAAACCATGGTTTAGGGGCTTGGGCAGCGGGGCTTTGGGGTTTAGGGTCTGTTAGGGTTCAGGGTCTTGGGCTTAAGGATGTGCGGATTATGGCGGGTTTCTCGTGTGGCTTAGGTCGAGGACTGTGTAACCGTTGAACGACGCAGCCCACTCGTAAGTCCAAACCTCGAGTCCCCATAAACCTGTAGGCCCCTAAACCCTCAACCCTAAGCCCTAAACCGCTAAACCTGTAGGAAGATCCGATTCAGGCAGTGGATTCGAAGTTCAACGGCATTACCCTGCGCTTCGGAATGACAGAGGGCAAGTGGGTTTAAGAAGGCCCCTCGAAGCTCTTAAGGATGCCAGCTTGTTCCAAGGGTTACCTTTCCGGAGAGTTTAGGGCATCCGTTTTGGTATAGGCTATAAAGATTCGGAATGATATTTCGAGGATTTCGGGCTTCTTTCGAGCTGGGTCTGTGCTCAGTAGTTTGGGTCTTTCGAGGGGTTTTGGAGTGAAGGGGATTGGAGGCCAGAGCAGCTGGGATGCAAACCGATTTCCTGATGCCTGGGACCTGCAACAAAGAGTTTTGGGTCCTTCATTGTTGGTGGGGTACCCCAAACCCTAAGCCCCGAAAAACTTGGCCATTGTTGGCGAGGTTATAGGGGCCGACATAGAAAAGCAAACACCTAGAACCACACGGGAGGGTTAAAGCCAAGACTCCGAGGTGCGTTGGCACATACGCCTCGTCGCCACAGAACAAGGCCGGCAAAGTGAGCAGTCGGGATTTCGAGGAGTTTAAGTGCTAGCAAGGCTTGCCGGCTCCCCTAAACCCTAAACCCTAAACCCTAAACTTTAAATCCTAAACCCTAAACCCTAAAGCCTAAACCCTAGACCCAAGAATCTGCAGGGCTTGGGTTTGAAGCCGTCTTGCATGTGAGGCATCCCAAGGTTTCATGCAAAGCATCGAACATCAGAAGAATTCCTGTGCCGGGAACCGCGAACTCTGTGACGTCAGGCTTCGGCTTATTGCTGAATGCCTAAGAGGCTTCAGTTACCTCGGAGGCGTCATGTAGAAGCCTGAATAATTACTAATACAATTCGCTTCCTAATTTCACCCCCAACCCGGTGTTCTACTTGTTAAGGCCCCTAAATTGACGTCTGCCACCGGCAGGTTGAGGACATGGCCAAGGAATTCGCATCGCGCACGCACTTCGTGCACCTGCGGAATGTCACGAAGGCCGCGGAAACATCGGGCTCAATTCCGATGTAGCATGAACATCCTGCCATAGAGTTGTCCGTAGGAATATCGAATTGCCTAATTTTTAAGAGCACTTCACCGCAAACACCAGCTGTTGAGCCCTAATGGGGTTCCCTGGATCTTGAGCAGTAGGGCTTACACATATGACTCGATTGTTGGCGCGTCCGCATCATGCTTCCGAAGGCATCGGGTCGCACCAGAACCTCAGCCAAGGAACCATCAAAGCCCTGGGACCTAAACCCAAGCTCCCGGCTTGCATTGAACGCTGAAGCAAGAGCCCGTGAGCTTAAGCCTCAAAACTCCCGCATCTTAAATAGTTAAACCTATAAGATCAAGTCGTGAAGCCACAAGCAAGCCCCTTGGCATGTGCTGCTCGAGTTGATTTACGGGAAGGTCCCTAAGAATTGAAGAAACCTAGCTAGCCCGCTGCGCCGTAACCCTACTATAGGGGCTTTATAGTAAGTAGAATAGGGTTTTGGGGGTTGCTTATTATGTATATAGTATAATATACCCCCAAACCCTCCATGCTAAGTATTTTGGCCCCTACATTACATGATCAGCCCTACTCATCCAGGAGATGCCGCCCTCTCCGGAGACTGGGCTGGGTCCTGCCGGCTGCCCCTCGGCGGCTTCAGCAAATGCTAATACTGGCATTGGTATATTAGTCCGAGCACGGTTGTACTCGGGTTCTGTTCGTCCCGCATGATTTCTTGTCTCGCCGAGATGTCTTGCTCAAGGTTCATGGATCCGGACTGAAGCTTATGGTTCAGGGTGTGCGGTTGAAGGCATGCACACATCAATCGTCTGGGCTGGGCCTCCATTGCGTATCCGCATATCTAGCTTGTCGATGCTGTTTATGTTGGAGAGCATGGCGTTTCTGCAGCTTGTCTTCGGCGTCCAGGCACGTTCACGGAGTCCGACCATCTGGGCGGGGATGTCGACATGCTGCCTGGCTGCAGAATAAGCTACAGGGCCATGAAGTAAAGTACAATATAGCCAGAGTGAGAGGCTGTAGCGCGCCAACAGATTGAAGTTTATGGTTAGGCAGTAGACAGCAACAGTACGAGGTACAGACAAGGACAGACAGCAAGTCAGCAATACATTAAACAAATTGAAAATCGCGTGTCGACATAGCCTGGACTTATGGGTTGATATCTTCATATCTTGAACATACACACATGTGTTGTGTATATATACATAAAACACGCACCCATACATATGTACATACACCCCGGCATAGCTACATGCACTAGGTTGCATTAATGCCACATATGCGGATACATACATACCCACGTGCGTGCATGCATACATGCATACATGAATACATGCATACATGCATACATGCATACATACATGGTGAACGCGCGCTCACAAATACCCTTTTACCGGTTAAACTCATTTCTGTATCAGCCATGCTGTAACGTGTCAAAATAGCACGGCTGAAGGTATGCGATCATGTTGACGATGCTCGAGGACCCAACAGTCAGCGCGGAGTTCCACTGCTAGTACAGTTGTGATGCTTGTTGCCGCTGCAGGTCTCACTTTCTCAATGCTGATGCTGCAGATGTCGTCCGAACTACAATCGCCATAAGCACCATCATCATCGTCGTCGTCATCATCATCACCATCAGAATTACTGCACTTGTCGCCATCACTGGCATCGTCGTCATCAGCATTTTCGCATCACCACCTCGCGCTTTCCTGCTGTATCGTCATCGGAGCTACCCATCACACGTATGTATCTTCAACCTAACCCTAAACCCTAAACCCTAAACCCTAAACATTAAACCCTAAACCCTAAACACTAAACCCTAAACCACGAAAATCGGCTTGAGCACTGCCTTGTGATCTTTTCCCGCCATTCTTCACACGTCGACGGTCAGGAGAAGCAGCGTCGTGTTCGAGAAGGCTGGGGCGACTCGGCCAACATTCCGTTCCGCCCGGACCATGGCCACAAGATGCTGGATGACATGAAGGCCAGGGTGGGGGGATTTGCACGGCTTTCTTCTTTTGGTGTTCGGGCTTTGAAGTACAGGTTGCCTCTGGGCCATAACAGAAGTGTTAGGGTTTCAAGCTCTGCACATTGAGCCTCAAAGTCTCAATGCTGAAGGCTCGACCTCTAGCGCTACACCCCAAACAGCAGGGAAGTAGCTGACCCCTGCCAAAGCACCTTGCAAGGCCTGCCCGAATCCAAGTGCCGCGCATCACAACTACCATGTGTAGTATAAGTCGCGCCTCTCCTCCTTGTAGGAGGAGAACTGCAAGCACGAGCGCAGGATTTGGGGGCTTTGCGGTTCCGGGCTTGTAGGCTTTACTACTCAAGGTAGTTGGGTCTGAGGGTCCTGAATCTTTGTGTCCCAAGTCGATTGAGCATTTAGGGATCCTAAGCACTAAACCCTAAACCCTAGTTTTCGCAAGAGAGAAACCCCTTGGTTACAGAATCCCTTAGCAGCCCCAAACCCTGAACCCCTCACTTGCCATAGACCCGAATGGACAAGATGCATCTTACACAAATTCTCAGAAATCCACGAGGCAACCCTCATTAATGTTATTAGGTCTCCTGTGCCTTGATTCGGGAGCTCAAATCCTAAACAGCCCCTTACATCTAATTCCACCCACTCCTCATCACCCATAGGCCCCTAAACCCTAAACCCTAAACCCTGAACCCTAAACCCTAAACCCTAAACCCTAAACCCTAGACCCTAAACCCTAAAGCCAAAGCTCGGGCCTCCAGATCCCCATCCGACTCCTTCCTGGAGCCCTTTGCCTGCGGCTTTGGGCCCCTAAATCCTACATCCGAAATCCTAAACCCTAAATCCTA